TGAGTGCTGGGATTAAAGGCGTGCACCACCACCGCCCGGCCCATCTCAGGTTTCTTAACGCAAATATTAGAATTGCTTGATGAAAGCATGTAGAAATATTTTAAGGTGCCTGATACAGGTTTCCTTCCATATTGCCCTAGAAAGGTTGTTCAGTGTCTGTTGTGGCAATATGTGAAGAGTGCCATTTCATCTTGCCTATAAGTTCATCTACTCATTTTTAACAATGGATAGGGAAACAGCCTCTACCTTCCTTGGTTCAAATATCACCTCGGTTAGATGTTACTTCCTATTACTGTGTGCCAGTTGTTTTATAACTTTCTGTGTCTCCATGTTTTATTTAATTATCTGTGTAATTGAGAGATGAATATTCTTTAAAGTGTTTAGAAGAATGCTAAAATACAGTAATCATTTTGTATGTACTTCTTTGTGTTAAGTGCTGACATTAAATTCATATAATACAAAAACAGACTGTGTCCACTATAAGCTTGGCTTTTGTAAGTGAAACTTATGTTTCATTTTAGTTAGAAGAGCCGGAAGAATCTAAAGTGCTAACACCCGAAGAGCAATTAGCAGATAAACTTCGGCTAAAGAAGCTACAGGAAGAGTCAGACCTTGAATTAGCAAAAGAAACGTTTGGTAAGATGGTGGGTGCAATGTTGAGCTACTCCAGGTGAAAAATTGTGCCAGTCTTAGTACTAAAAGATCAAAAACCATGTTTTTAAAGGACACATACAGTCTTACTGAGATCAGAAAACAGTTTTAATTAAGATTACTTGACAAAGTATAGACATGTTTTCAGATTTCTTGAGTAATTTTTTAGAGTACCATATTAAATATAAGACATCATTTGTAACACATGCCTATAATCCTAACATTTGGAAGGCTGAGACAGGAGGGTCAGAAGTGGTGGCCAGCTAGTGTTATATAGCAAGACTGTGCCTCCCAACCTCCTCCAGAAGACATCAGTAGACACAGTAAAAGTATACTGTTACCTAAACTTATGAACTGGATAGATTCTGCTCTCTACAGCTTTGAAATTAAAATATCGAACTGTCTTTGGGGCATTCTCGTGCCATAAGTCTAGCTAGGACTTGGGCAGAGCACGTTGGTCCATGTAGAATATTCAGTAGTAGCTTTGCCTTGTGTTTAGGGTTGTTTCTTTTTCTTGGCCTTTTTAATACCCCATCTTTCAGGGCCATCATTTATCTTACAGCTTATAGTCCATCATCAGGGAAGTCAGGGCAGGAACTGAAGCAAAAGCCATGAAGGATTGCTGCTTATTAGTTTGTTCCTCATGGCTTTTTCAGTCTGCTTTCTTACAGTTCCTAGGACCATCTGGCCAGGGGTGGCACTGCCCACAGTGAGCTGGGCTGTCCCACCTAAATCAGTAATCAAGAAAACGCACCACAGCCCAATGTGGTAGGGACATTTTCTCAGTTGAGGTTCCCACTTTTCAAAGGAGACTCTAGTTTGTGTCATGTTGACTTAAAACTAGCCAGCACACTAAGGAAGATTAAAAGACAACAGAGAAATCCAGACTTCATTTGTCAAGTTTGTCATTACCTGGTGTGAAAAAATTGACCCAACCACCTTCTCTGGAACACAAGCGATTTGCTTGGTCCCCTTTTAGGAAAGTGTGACCATACCCCTTAGTGGGTCTTTAGCAATGTCAGCTGTGACTGTGGGTGTTTCTCTATTTGTGATGGTTCATGTGTATGCTCAGTACAGAAAACCTCATATAGGATACCAGCTACAGAGTAAGAAATGAAAAATGAACTAACACAGGCATTGTTTGGTTAATAGGAATTTACTATTTCTGTACTACAGTGCTGAATCTGTGGTATTGATAGATCATTTATTTGACATTGAAAAGGGTATGTACAGAAGCATACATACTTTTAACCTAGAATTCTTTTAGGCCAGATTAATTTTTCTCTCAGGTTTTAACACAGAAGCATACATACTTTTAACCTAGAATTCTTTTAGGCCAGATTAATTTTTCTCTCAGGTTTTAACACATGGTTACCTCTACTTAATTTTTGGAGTTATTGGCTGATTATTTTTATATCCATCTTTTTTATTCTTTCCCATCTTTGTAGAAAGTTTCTTTTGTTTTTACATTTATTGGGTTTGTGTACTCAAGGATGCCTGTGGAAGCCAGAGGACAGCTTGTGAAGTTGCTTCTCTCCTGCCATGGGGGTTCAGGGGATTGAATGTAGGTGGTAACCTTGGTGACAAATATCTTCTTTACCTACTGAGCCATCCCCCACCCACCCCGTCCCTTTCATCTTTTGTCTTTCTTGGACATTTTGAGAATTTCCTTTGGACAGGAAGTACAGTCTGTGGGTCCCTTTTTTTAATGTGGCTTTTGTTTTTGAGGCAGGGTCTCTGTGTAGCTCTGGCTGGTCTAGAACTCACCGAGTAGAGCAGGTTGGCTTGGAACTCACAGAAAAGCTTGCCTCTGCTTCCTGAATGCTAGGGTTAAAGGTGCTTTCTAACAGTTTATTTTTAACAAAGGAAACCTGTTCAACTGAAACAGAAATCAAATCACAAAACAAATCCATGACACAGAATTATAGGTTTTTAGTTTTTAGTGCAGGGGATTGAACTCAGGGCTTCATACATGTTAGGCAAACACTACCTGAGCTACATTCCCAGCCCATATAGTTTTATTATTATTTTATTTGTTGGTTGATTTCTTCTTTGAGACAGGTTCTTGCCAGGCTGGCCTTGAACTCCTCATCCTCCCAAGTGCTGGAATTATAAAGTGTGTGTGACTACTCCACTCCTTGTGCTTTTTTACTAGTAGGATCTGACAGTCCTGAGCAGACAGTGATGAGGGTTATCTGCACCAGCTGCAGTGTACTCCGAAGTCAGGGTGGGATTTGTTGTTAAATATGATTTGTTGCTTAAAATAAACATGGAAGCAAGTGCAAAATTGAAGGTTAGTAAAATTCAAGATAGATTTTTTTCTTTTTAAATTTGAATTTTGAAGACACCCTTCTGAATTCTGTCCAAGAACTCTAATAGGCCCAGGTTAAAAAACTCAATAGTTTAAGAAGCTTCCTAATGCTAGAGTGGTGGATCAGTGGGTAGTAAGTCTGAGTTGGATTCCCCAGGACCCTCACTGGTGGAAGGAGTGAATTTATCCTCTGATTGCCACATGTAGGTCCTGGTGGTGTGTGCACACACAATGTGACAGTTGGTTATTTTTAAAGTCCTGCTTTAGAATAAAACTGATTTAGATAGCAACTTGGTTTATGAACTTTCAAGTTTTTGTTACAGGGAGGGGCATGCGGAGATCAGTGTAGTGGAGATCAGTGTAGTTCTGTGTAGTCAGTTCTTTCTCCCCATCTTTACATGGGTAAGCTCTCTTACCCGGGAGCCATTTCACTAGCCCCTCATTGATGAACGTAAAATGTTTGTATCTTCCTAATGCTTCAGGTCTTCTTTCCTGCAGGTGTTAATAATACAGGTTATGGAATAGATGCTATGAACCCATCTTCAAGAGATGACTTCACAGAGTTTGGAAAGTTACTAAAAGATAAAATTACACAATATGAAAAATCACTATATTATGCCAGTTTTTTGGAAGCCTTAGTTCGAGATGTCTGTATTTCATGTAAGTGATGCTGATTTCTAGCCCCTTTTGTTATGAATATATTAAGAACACCGTACTTGGGAAAGTGGGGTTTGTTTGTTTGTTTTTAAATATAGCTTTAATGCTATATAATGTAGACTTTTGGGATTTCCTTCTTAGCAGATATTTTTGGAATGGTCTCCAGTTTGAGTATTTGGAGGTGGGAGCAGGCTGCTTTCATTGTTGTGTAGGAGTTTCTCAGAGATAGCTGGCTTATGCCAAGCAAAAGCACATAATCTCCTAAAGGACTACAAAGTGTCTTTAGAAGGAATGGACTAGGGGCTCCTCAGGTTTAGAGCTCAGTAAGACCCTTAAGAACCACTGGTTTACAAATGGAGTCTGAGATGCTGTCCAAATTGCCCAACAGAACTGGTGCCTTTATGCTGGGACATCACACCAAGAATGTCTAGGGGTGGTGAGGGTGTTAGGATTTGTTGTAGTGAGAAAAAGGTCATGATGAATTAGGAGTTGTATTTTCTTTGTGGAATGATCACTAAGCAGGGGATGCTCAAAGTGATTGGTAACCCACAGGGTTTTCTTTTCTTTTTTAAAAAGATTTATTTATTTATTATGTATACAGTGTTGTTTGCATGTATCCCTGCAGGCCAGAAGAGGGAGCAAGATCTCATTACAGATGGTTGTGAGCTGCCATGTGGGTGCTGGGAATTAAAACTCAGGACGTCTGGAAGAACAGACAGTGCTCTTAACCTTTGAGCCATCTCTCCAGCCCAGGGTTTTCATTTTACATGTACTGTTTTTCCTGTGTTTCTTTTGCAGGAATGGGGTTCTGACCAAACCCTAACATTTTCTGTATCTAAGAACTGATTTACTGATTTCTTTTCCAGCTTTTTTTTTTTTTTTTTTTTTTTTTAAATAAGTAAAAGGATATGTTGTCTACTACTAAATGGTGGTGTTCCTGGGCTAGAAAACATACCAGAGGCAGAGGTTTATCATTTGTGTGTTTAGTTATCATTGCATGTTCAATGTAGCTGCTACTCAATGATTGTAGAGGCTGTGGTTATTCTCCCCTCTGTTTAGACTGAGCAAAGATGGCAAGAAGCAGTACAAATGCTAAAGAGTTCACAAATACAGGTTTTTTTGTTTTTCAAGATAGGGTTTCACTGTGTTGCGTAGCCTTGGCTGTCCTGGATCTCACTCTGTAGACCAGGCTGGCCTGGAACTCAGAGATCTGCTTGCCCCAGTGCTGGATTAAATGCATGTGCCACCACCGACTGGCTAATTTAAGTTTTTATTGTCATTGAGTTTACCATTGTACTTTAGTGAGCTATCACTGAGCCTAGCCATAGACTGAACAGTTACTTACCTGATTATTTATGAAGGAGAAATCCATAGTTGTTTTAATGGAGTTACCTAAGTTTAATGACATACAAATGATTTTTTAATAAGGAATTTTTGATTTTATTTTTTTAAATGCTTAAAAATTGAAGTTTAGTAGTATGTCTCTCTCTTTTTTAAAGTGGAAATTGATGACTTGAAAAAGATTACCAATTCATTGACTGTGCTTTGCAGTGAAAAACAGAAGCAAGAAAAGGTAAGAGCAAGCAGTACAGAGAAATGACTACGTTAGGGTGGGGCTGTGGGCAGAATTCCCTCAACACAGTCAAGAGCCCGTTGAAATTCTCAGAACTGAACAGCAGTGTGATGCCTGTTGTCTCCATTCACAGACATTTGTGTTCTTTTCTGAGACAATAAGAATTGCTGTAGCTTTAGCATCTCTTTGAGTGCTTGCTGTGACAGATGAAATGTCCATAGCAGATAAAGGTTCATGAATTTAACTCTTCCTTCATTTTTAGCAAAGCAAAGCCAAAAAGAAGAAGAAAGGCGTGGTTCCTGGAGGGGGATTAAAGGCCACCATGAAAGACGATCTGGCAGATTATGGTGGATATGATGGAGGATATGTACAAGACTATGAAGACTTCATGTGACATTTTACCTTCTCCTGGTGTCTTCTTTCTGTTGCCCACAATCCCTTCAACATGTAGCACAACTTCCTTTCTTTTCAGTTCTGCCAAATGCTACAATCAGAAGTGCAGTATCTTTTGTGCTGGTTATTTAACCCCTTGACACTCAGGTGCTAATGAGCAAATGAGGGAACTTGGATCTTGTTGCCAAGGGGTTAAAATTGGGAACCTCAGTTGCTACTAAATCATAGTTTAAAAACAAAAGAAACCTAATAATGTTGTCATTGTTGCTATCTGATTCCATAGCAGCAGTCACTAAATTGGAAACAAAGGTTGCAACATGACAAAAAAATTGTGTAGTATTTACCAGCACCATTCAGTAATACAGCCTTAACCATACCTCCTTGAACTACTTCATAACTTGTCAAGAAAAGCAGTTTGCAGCAAACAAGGGCATGTGGGATGCACCTAGTATTAAAATTGCTTTGTCTTAAAATTGAGAGTGAGGATATTAAAAACATGTTGTGAAGAAGACTGCTTATCTCAGAGCGAAGATACTGTGGCTGAAAAATACTAGTTTGATACTTAAGATTTTAATGACCAAAACCCTTCAACTTTGAAGCTGAAGAAGGTAAACCTCTCCATTGTTACAGTGCAAGTGGTGGACGCTCCAGTCATTGACTGTCTAGTTATTTATCGGCCTATCTCTACTGATGGAGGACTTCAGATGGGGGAGGGAACTCTGTTTCTATTTGCCTGATTCAAGTGTCTGAGAAACAAATCTTTCTGTTCTAGGCTGCAACAGAAAAACTTAACAGGGTTTTGGCATTTCCTTTTCTTTATAAAACATGCTCAGCAAACTGCACCAGTTAACTACAGTTTGGTAAATTGTTATGTTAACAATTATGACATCTGCAATGTTTTATAAAGCAACTAATTTAATAAAATCACTATTGTGAGGACTTAAATTTTGTGTTACCTCCCAAGAGATAGTTGAGTACAGGATGCAGCTCCTGGGTGGAATTCTCTGTGTACTCACTAAGGCTTAATCAGTGCCTGATGTAGTTACAGCTTTGAAACAAGAATATTTGGGGTCTTGAGTGTAGAGCAACAGAGGCTGCTTTCCTCTTGTTTATTTGGGAAATTATCTTGTTTAGATGCTGAGGCCCAATTAAGTACCTATAACTATTTATTTGGAGTATTGGCGCCTACTGCTCACGTTATTACAGTAAACATAAATTGGGTGATCATTTTAAGTAATTTAACCAAATTTGTGGTTAGTGTTTTTTTTTTTTTTTTTTCCTTTGGTCCCCATAATTGTTACAACCAGGACAAAAATTTTTTAATTTTTCTTCTATAGGCAATAGGAACCTCAAAGCTCTGTAGACTACTAAGTGGAAAACAGGACCATCTAAATGACTTGAATTAATAGAAGGCCGTGACTACACAGCAATAACTATAGTAAATACTGTTGAAGGCAGACAAGGGCTAAGATCTCCTTAGCAGTAATAATGACAGACACTGAATTAAAACCTATTTTATTATAGAAAGATCAGTTTCTAACTCATGAAAATGTATCACCTGTTCCTTAACTGTGTAAATAAGATTAAATTGCTTTGAAACTGGAACCTGCAGGCACAGGTATTCTTTAATCACTACTGTTTCTCCTAATGTAGAAGACATTTTAACAAGCTTTTGATCTTAATACCAATTTCTCCTTCATTCCCTACAGCCACAAATGACTGATGTGATATTGTGTATTTCTGGGCCTTTTACCTCAAGTGGGGATAAAGATCTTCAAATACTTTATTGCCGTATAGGTACAAAAAACAATCAGGCATCTTTCAGATCTTCTAACCGGCGAGCATATCTTTAAGACAGCATCCTATTTGAGGGTCCTTCAGAAGCACATTTACAATTTCAAAAAATTTGTGTTCATATGCCAACTTGTAATGCAGGTAGATATCTTCACAATATGAAAGTAACTTCTTCAGGTTGTCTGTGACCCTGTCGGTAGGCTGGTGTTGTTTATATCTACACAGAAATGTGTAAAGTACAGGTTAAATACTGTCTCATCAACAAGGGGGGTCAGCTCTGCCACATCTGCAGGGGTGTCACAAGCTTAGGCAATTATCAAGCTAGTATTGGATTTTGATGAATTAATTAAGAACAGTATGTCCCTGGACATTGGCGGTTCATACCTTTAATCCCAGCACTTAGGAGGCAGAGATAGGCAGATCTCTGAGTTTGAGGCCAGCCTGGTGTACAGAACAAGTTCTGGGACAGCCAGGGCCACACAATGAAACCTTTGTCTTGGCCAAAAAACAAAACAACAACAACAACAAAAAAAACCAAAGCAAAATATGTCAGCACCCACCTTAATTAACTTTAGTACTACTGCAAAAGACACTTTTGCTAGAGTTTTTGGTTCACAATCAGTGTTTTCCCTTTTTAAAAAAGACAGCTTCTCCATGTGTAGCCCTGACTGTCCTGGCACACACTAGGGCTTGAAGCAAGTGCTGTGATTAGAGTCAACTTGAATACTTACTTTTTGGAAATGTCTTCAAATATATTGGGTCTTAGTAACTTTTGCTGTTTAAATTCTTCCAAGTAACTAAAGTCTCCTTTAAGAATCACTTGTTGGTAGAGAACTTCAGCCCAATCAGGAACAAAGTCATAGGCCTCAGCTACAATAGAAGCCTTAAAGGGATGTAAGTGAAGGGAAGGGGGCTGTTAGATCCCATGCTGTGGGAAATTGAAGGCAAAGTCTAGGAAACAGTACTGTATACGGCGAATTATGATCACAGTGTTAAAGGCTATCGGTTGTCTGGTATTGGCATTTCCCTCCCATAAAAATCCCTCCGGTGACTTGTTTTTAGTCTTCCTCATAATGGACAGTAAAACTGATGTGAATAATTATTTCCATAATGTAACTGTGTGGGAAGCAGGAAAGAGCTGATGCTGGGACATTATTCCTGTTCGTTTTAAAGGACTAGAATCAATCTCTGGGCAGACTTGATTCTCAGTGCTAACCTGCATGCACCATTCCACGGACACGTCTGCAAGATTATTAAAGAGGACAGGCCAAGAAAGTCTCTTAGAACTGTAACTGCCAAACATCAAAATTCCCTAACTTGGCCCAAACCATGTACTAGAGATAATACACCAGATAGTGCCGGGAGTGTGCCGCAGGTGGTAGAACACTTGCCTAGCATTTGTGAAGATCTGAATTACTACAAAACACATGCCATCCATCTCAAATTGCCTCTTCGAGGTACTATTAGACAACTAAATTGGGATAACTAGTTTGCCCTGGGTCTGTCCCTAGCCCTGAGACCTCAGTCACCTAGCCTCTGGGCACCAAGGGTGAGACACCACAGGATTATACTGGCAGTACCTGTCAGTGTTCTTACCTGGTAGAACCTAGGTAGGGCCATGATACAGTCCATTAGTTTCTGATGGCCCAAGTTGATAAGCATTGTGTTCTGACCAGTGTTCAGAAAGTGAATCTGCAGTGTTATCAACTTGGTGAGCCGGTTACAGTGTAGGGCCTGTCGCACACAGGAGTCCTGAGGGACGGGAGGAGGAAGCACAAGAAGGGAGAATTTTATTGTTACCCTATCTTCTGTACTCACGTACTCTGACCTTGGCTTGACCCACTCCACACTCCCTCTTCACTTGGAAGAGCCCAAGCCAAAGTCATTTCTCCTACTACGGATGCCAGTGCCAGGCCAGAAGGACACTGGTTACCTTGGCGTAACTCTCTGCTGCATCCAACATCAGAGTCAGGGCTTTAAGCAGGAGTTGTTTTAGTTGGGCTCCATCCTTGAGGCTTTCCTCTGTAGAATAAAGGACACTTGTTATAAAGCTGAGTGACTTCTCAGACCACTCAGTGAAGGCAGCAGGCTAGATGAGAGAAACAGAATCTAAGTATATTCATAGGTAGGAATGTTTCACTCAGGCAAGAAATGTCCTCACTAGAACTTAACTCTAGGGTTTGCTGGATAACACCCTAGGAGGGTAGTCCTAAGGTTCAGGCGCTTCTGTGAAGTGCCATCCCCTGCCATCTTGGCTGCTGCCGAGTGCCCTTACTCCTTAAGAGCTGGCAGGGTTAGTGTTAGCACCGCTGTGGAGGTGCTACACCTCACTCACCCCAGGGTTGAGACTCAATCAGCTTCAGTTGGATACAGGCTGCTGCCTCGTGATTCTCCCCTATCTCCCGGCACATGCTAAAGCACAGGGCAATCATATTGTGCTTTTCGCTGTCTCCAGGGCGGCAGCGTTTGATGTAGTCCAGCAAGGCTGTCTTCAGGGTGCCACTCTGCCCAGGAAAAAAAGGGATATCCAAGGTCTTAACCAGGGACCACAGGGGAGATCAGCTGAGTCCCTTGGTTTTATAAACTGGGGAAAATCCCCAAGGAAAGGTAAATGATGAAAATGACTATAAAATCTTAAGCTGTCTTGAGGATAAGGGAACAGACGTGTCCTTGTTGAGAGTATAAAGTTAACTTGACCAGATAAAGGCAGCTGTAAGAGCACACACTGACCTACTATTCTGTTTGCTAGGACTCTATCCCGAAGACACAAGTGTGAAGGTGAATGTAAAAGATTTAACAACATTAATTAAAAGCAGCCTGGATGCCCCAAATAAAGACTAAGAATACCTTGTAGCCATTAAATTGCTGAAGTGAGGCCCCTGCCCCCACTGGGGAATTGAACCCAGGGCTAAGCACATGCTTTACCACTTAACTATGGCCTCTGCCACTCAGACTACCTTGACTTGGGAAATAGCCACAGCAGACACTGTAAAAGGAGAACCTCAATTATCCCTTATTTTCAAAGCATAAAATTTTGCTAAAATGTGGATTTTTATATTTTTGGGGTACATGTGCAAAGGGGTATATCAAATCAGCAGTGGCTGTCTCCAGATGGTGGACACTGAGGTCTTCCATGTTGTTTTCTAAGTGTCTTATATGGAGTATGTATTACTTTTGTAATCGGAAAAAAAGTTATTAAAAATTTTTAAATGCAAAAGTGCCTCAAAACAACAATTTGCAAATCTCGGGATCTTGAAGATGGACCTATGAAGGGTCTTGCTCCTTTGTCATCAGCAGGATTGTCTTGAAACAGCCTAACAGATTTTTCTTAACTCTGTATTTTTTGACAGGAGAAATGAACAGAGACAAGCCTCCAACCCAAACGCTTTGTAAACATTATATGAGTGACATACCTCATGTCATGGCATATAATGGGGATAAAGAGGCCCAAAGACTCTGTTTACAAGGCTTCTTCCTGGTTGTTATAAATGGTTCTCTGGCCCAGGTCTATGTATCTGCTTCCTATCTTGGTATTTTTTTGTTTTACTTACTGGCTTTAGAGTGTTTTTTTCCATGCAATATATTTTGATCCTATTCTTTACTCTCCAACTCCTCCTATATCCTCCCTACCCACCCAGCTTCATGTTCCTTCTTAAAAAAAAAAAAAGGCCAAAAAGAAAAGTACCAAACCAAAACTGAAGTTTGTTTTGTGGTGACCAAAAAACAAAACAAAACAAGCATGGAGTTGGAGTGTGGTTGACAGACCAGCCATAAGCGACTTCTCTCTCCCAGAAGGTGTCCATTAGAAATGACTTCCTGGTGGGTTTGTGTCCTTTCCCCTTTTCTGTGCTGGAATTTGTCTGGTTTGAACTTGGGCTGGGCTGGTGCATGCCTCCAGTTCCTGAGTGTATCGGCCCTGGTGTGTCGGAAGACTTCGCTTCCTTGCAGCTGTCTAACCCTCCTGGCTTTTAAAATCTTCTGCCCTCACTTCAGAATTAGATGCCTGAGCCCTCTGTCAGAATGGGAGACCTGCCCTGGCTCTCAGCATCATATTTTGTCTGAAGAAAAAAAAAAAAACCCTCTAGCAGTGCTTAACAGCCTCAGCACTGACAGGTTCTCAAGAGGGTGTGTTCTTACCAGAACAGGCACTA